CTTGCCTAAGCTATAGTACGTTGCGTACTATACTTACCCATTTCCTGTAAGGCAGTATTTTGTGCTGATTGAAACAAACGCGTGTACACATGTTTTCGCCACTTATCATTCTATTTTGAAAGTAATTACCAGTGGAATAAAGATGGTATTGTAGACAGCTAACAAACCTTTAGACGATTCCCATTCAAGACAACGCTGCGGGAGAAATGTCTTCGATGCAAAAATGACCACAGTTATATTTGCAACCAAAGTAAGTCAACATGGAAGCACCTGTGCAATAAATTATTTAAACTGTGGCAGGCATGTAGGATTAGCAGCTCATAAGGTACAATGCAAAGGGGCTGTGTTGTGAGCCACAATATTTTGTACGCTAGATACAAATGTTAGATAAATGCCTGCACACACGAAAAGTTGGTGAATGCAATTGGTATGCCTGTATCGTCATCATATTTTGATTATGCCTGTATATAACCATATATACATAACCCAGGGCCTTTTCATGTCACCATAAATTGTACCAGGCTGTTGGTATCATAAAATGAGTGTCCATTAACAGCAAGACTTATTAACGATATACATAAAACTGTACGTGTCCTTCTCTTAATTGAAATACTGCAGTAAACTATCAAATGAATGGTAAAAAATTACACTATAGAATCGTAGAAACATGGCTGGTAGAGTCATTCTAGGTTGCAACCCCTACACACCTAATGAATACTTACTGTGCACATTGGGCTAAAATTGATACAGAGAACAAAGCAGGGCTTGTTTTTAAGACACTCGCCCTATCTTAGATTAACTGTCCCAAAACATGACACAGAGAAAACGGCTGTCAACAGCTCCACAAAGTACACCACACAAGGAAAGAATCCTCCGCATTTTCATTTGCAGCTCTATAAACCTTCATTTCATAATTTTAACCAAAACTATATAATTGTTACTGTATGTGCATGAAAGAAAGAGCTTGACAAACATATAAGGTTTTTATCATCGAAAATCTATCCATCGTTTGTTAAATATATATATATGTTTTCTGCTTTAAGACCTTAAAATTTTCAAGTTATCAAGAAATTGTTGCAAACTTTTTTGCATTATCATATTCTTATCAATAAACAAACTTTACTGACAACATGCACATGACTGTTTCTCTCTCCTCTAACTTTCACGCTCTCAAAATAATGTATTGATGTTTATTATTTTTGTAGCAATTTTCAAAAACTGTGGCTATCGCCCTCCTCAACAACAACTACGGCTTCTATAATTTAGAGGATATCGATGCAATTTCAGTATACTCCAGTCAAAAGAATTACTTAAGATGCATCCGTAAAATTACCAGGAATTTACATTTTGAAGAAAATTATATCATCATTTCTTTCTAAACAAGATTTTGTTATTTTATGTTAGCAGAAAATGCTTAAGCACCCTCCATTTTAAACGGAGTCGGGACGCAATTCTTTTTATTAGATTACTGTCAATCCAGTTTTTTTTTCCAATAAGGCATAGTTCTACTTAGAATTATTGGTTAAAGACCATGTCTGCATATTTTGTTTTTACAGTAGCACTTCAGTCTGTTTTTTTTTTCATTTCACTTAATATGAACAATTCCAATGTGATTGCTGTGCAAGGCAAACAATACCATCATACAAACCTTTAGAAGATTGTCGAACAACAGTCCACTGCAGATGAAAAATAGGATACGTCTCCTTGGTGCACATGTCAACATAGTAGTGTTTTTTTGCCAATAGAAGTCAGCCGACACACACCCGTACAATGAATTATTCATACTGTAGCAGGCCTCAAGAATGAATTGCTCATATTCCAATCTAAAACAGTACAATGCGGCAAGGCTGCGGCCATTATGTTTACCTGGTGGCTAACAATAGACCTTCTCATCTCTATACGATGAAAATTGATTAGGTTATAATGAGGTCTGTAATTTTCCACAGAGGTGTTGTGTTTACAGCTCGTCGAAATAGGGTGTTGTTAGAATTCTCCTAAAATTTTTATTTTCACAACTTCTTGAAATTATTCTACTTTGAAACTATTTCAGATACTGAATTTATAGATCTTGCTAAAAAATAATCTTGCCCTTTTTCTTGCGTATAAAATTATTTAGCTTTCACGGAGATTTTGCAATTCAGTAAATTGTACATGAGCTTAACCTTAAAGTATTTTATTAAAGATACAGCCTAAGCAAAATAGTTTAGCTTTATAGAACACATTGCAATGTAAATTATGAAGTTAAATATAAAATGTTTAATACAGGTTTGTAACTGTTGACCACGATAAAATCTACGACAAAAACCTTAACAGTGTGAATATTCTTGTCCCTTTCACAGCGATATCATTGTTCTTTTAAAATGTTGTAGGTACTGCATGTTTGTATATTTAACCTCTAAGCCGCAAAGTTTATACAAATCTTGATATACGTTTGCGTTATTTTTCAGGGACACACATAAACTCATGACTCACAAACATAGTCTCAGAGAAAAGAGTTGACAACAGCTGCACACTGAAGTACACCTACGTACGGAAAATCCATCTCATCTTCTGGTGCACCTGTATTGATTTTCCTTTTTTAACTCGAATCTTTTTTCTGTACGTGCATGACAAGCATGTACTTGTGTCTTGTCAACAAATAAGGCTTTCTTCATCGGAAATCTAGCCATCGTCTGTTATATTTTTTGGTGTGTCCAATATCTGAATTTCATTTACTGTTAGAGAAGATACAGTTCACACTCATCTAATTTATGTTAAAATTTATGGCAGATTCTTTGCTGCAACGGAACACCCGTTTCAACGAAACAAACGTATCAAGTAGCATCAGCTACTTTTAATACAGTCACAACAAATACCGGATACCACTTGAAACGTCTACAGTCCTGAAATCTATCCAATTGCTTATGTATTCCTTTTACTATTATACAACTTCTACTTCTAGGCCCCTACACGCTTAAACACTAATACTGAGCGAATATTCATGCCTCATTACAACCATAACCTTCTTGCCTAAGCTATAGTACGTTGCGTACTATACTTACCCATTTCCTGTAAGGTAGTATTTTGTGCTGATTGAAACAAACGCGTGGAAACATGTTTTCGCCACTTATCATTCTATTTTGAAAGTAATTACCAGTGGAATGAAGATGGTATTGTAGACAGCTAACAAACCTTTAGACGATTCCCATTCAAGACAACGCTGCGGGAGAAATGTCTTCGATGCAAAAATGACCACAGTTATATTTGCAACCAATGTAAGTCAACATGGAAGCACCTGTGCAATAAATTATTCAAACTGTGGCAGGCATGGAGGATTAGCAGCTCATAAAGTACAATGCAAAGGGGCTGTGTTGTGAGCCACAATATTTTGTACGCTAGATACAAATATTAGATAAATGCCTGCACACACGAAAAGTTGGTGAATGCAATTGGTATGCCTGTATCGTCACCATATTTTGATCATGCCTGTATATAACCATATATACATAACCCAGGGTCTTTTCATGTCACCATAAATTGTACCAGGCTGTTGGTATCATGAAAAAAAGTTTCCATTAACAGCAAGCCTTATGAATGATATACATAAAACTGTACATGTCCCTCTCTTAATTGAAATACTGCAGTAAAAAATTACACTACAGAATCGTAGAAACATGGCTGGTAGAGTCATTCTAGGTTGCATCCCCTACACACCTAATGAATCCTTACTGTGCACATTGGGATGGAATTGATAAAGAGAACAAAGCAGGGTTTGTTTTTAAGACACTCGCCCTATCTTAGATTAACTGTCCCAAAACATGATACAGAGAAAACGGCTGTCAGCAGCTTCACAAAGTACACCACATACGGAAAGAATCCTCCGTATTTTCATGTGCAAATCAAATCGTAGCCAGCTAACAAACCTTTAGACGATTCGCATTCAAGACTACGCTGCGGGAGAAATGTCTTCGATGCAAAAATGACCACAGTTATATTTGCAACCAATGTAAGTCAACATGGAAGCACCTGTGCAATAAATTATTCAAACTGTGGCAGGCATGGAGGATTAGCAGCTCATAAGGTACAATGCAAACGGGCTGTATTGTGAGCCACAATATTTTGTACGCTAGATACAAATATTAGACAAGAGTTCCGAGATCTCATACCTCCATGAAATATGGGCTTTGTCCTCATTAATTATGCAAATAACCTCTACATTAACATAATATATGCATAGCGATGCAAACCTTTAAGTAACTTACACATGTTACTAGGTTTAAAATTCCCATTATTCACCAATAAGGATTCACAGAATGTTCACATTAATTATGCAAATTAGGTCATCATTTGCATAATTGGTATTTGTTGATGTTCCGCCTGCCACAGATTTACATAGATTACATGTATAGCAGTACCATTATATGAAACACTGTAATTATAGAATTTCCTCATTAATTATGCAAATTTAGTCCTCATCTGCATAATTTGCATTCAATCATGTACAACTGCCAATCAGGTACCTATCCATAAAATTATGACGTTGTGGCCTGATTAGCTTGATGAAGTCTCCCACATAAAATAACGATCCAAACAAATGGAACAACTACTGGCAGCTTTATTACACAGATAAAATGATATACTAGTACATGTATGTAATTATGCTAAAGCCTAAATATTCCTGTAAAGTGTAAACTGTGCCTTACAACCTTGAAAGAAATTAGGGTAACACAAGTTTGCGTTTGAAATAAATTTCAACGTGATTGTTGTGTGTATTAATCTATGTGAGCTACATTGAAAGTTGATGAATAGTTGAAACAAAGACAATATCTAGCAGGTTGATATAAACGTTTCTTCTCTTAACTTCCCCAAACCCACATATTTTGAAAAGGTGGGGCATTACGTCTTCCATGGTTTACAGATGAGAAGTCAAACCCTTCAGACATAGTTTTAGACATAGTTATAGTTCTAGACAGCTACCTTTATCATGTAGACTTTAGTTATTTTATACTCTATTTCATTGTTCTTTTATGTTTTATAATTTGCAATTAGTCTCCGGGCACGAATTTTCAAAAAAAACTTATCGGTTAATATTGTTTCCAAAAAAGTTATCACTGGAATGGTGTCGTTAGTAACTTTCTGATTCGTCGAAAGCTAGCATTTTAGTGTTAACGAATTATAGTAGGCCTTTTTCAAATTATGTAATTGGTTAATATACTATTAGTGTCTGCTAAAGATTTGGAGTACTCTATCTATCTGACGGTGACTTTTCTAACACTACCAACCTATACTTTCATCGCCATTCTGTTCTCTTAGCCATTTCATGAGCGGCTGAAAATATTCCAAAATGGCGGATGCCGCCATCTTGTTCTGACCGGTCATGACCTTCATGGCTTCTGGCCAGGGTTGGCTGTTTCCCATCCGCAGCATCTCACTGTAACAGATGACAGAGGAGACATGGACTTACATTAAAGACCAAATGACACACACAAAAAATCCGTAAAATACATACAAATATCGGAAGTGTACATACAATATAGTCACTTGAAGTTTGATCCAATCATGAAGACTGAGAAATTGAGCTTGTACGGCCTTCTAAAAGTGAATTTTGGAGACTCTCCAGCAAGCTTCCCAATTGCCCACTTCGGGCATCCCTATTTCCACCTCTATGGTTTATTTTTGCATTTCAATGCTTTTTCCTGACCTGACATGACTGGGTGACATCAGGTCAGGAAAACATATAAACTCACACCACTTTATATTACTGACAGGAAACTCTATCCGCCACTCAAAAATCAAAACCAAAGCATGTCCAGGACAAAAGATACAAAAAACCGGAAGTTCTGCTGCAGTACCAAGGCCAGCCCAAAATCGACCTTGACCTTTGCCTACCCAACACCTACCAACATACCAAATATCATTACAATCCATCGAAAGGTTCAAAAGTTATGCTGGCCCCAAATGTGCGGAAATTTAAACACAAACACACACACAGACAGACACGCCAAAAACAATACCTCCATTTTTCATGGAGGTAACAAAAGGTAACAAAAGGTCAATGCCAGGTGCGATGCGTGTGTCACATGTTAGAACGAGCTTCCTGAATAGGTAGGAGGTAACTATAGCTGACCAGCCACTGTGGGAGCGGACGTAAACTAACCAGGCCGTAGTATGTTTCACCAGGCACCCAGAATCTCATGACCCTTACCGTAGTCTGTCCCCAGCTTGAGATGACCCGTAGATGTCACACTTATGGAGCTGGCCGTGTGGATACCCCGCCTCTCTACACAGGGACTCGTGGAACTGGAACTGGATAATGTAGCTGACAAAGTACCTGGGGAAGATTTGGGGTTAGCAAAAACGCTGACGGCCCAACGGACATACACGGAACTACGAAGACCCACAATGACTTCCATACACCTTTTTCGCGAGCCTTCCACACCGCGCTTTCTAGGGATATACCTTCCATTCACCTCTTCCGCGGTCCTGCCATACCGCGCTGCCAAGGGATATACCTTCAGGTCAAAGGTGTGGAAGGGCCACGGAAGAGGTGTATGGAAGTGTCGTTGTGGGCCTTCGTACAGAACGGTTCTGTGTTCCATAGGGATGAAGCTTCGGAGCTGATATAGTCGTTAAAAACACATTGAAATACAATTAACCGTCCAAATGTATGTTATTTTCCAAACAGTTCTGTTACTAGAAGATTCTTTCAACAGTGACAAGTTTAAAGGGTAAAGATACTGACCTCCGAATTTTCGATGACTATCAGTCCATCTTGGTCACGGAAAATTTGGAGGTCAGTATCTTTACCCTTCAAACTTGTCATTGTTGAAAGAATCTTCTAGTAACTGTATATATATATATATATATATATATACGTGACGAATGAATCTCTTCAACGACAAACAATTCTGTTCCTGAAATTTGAAAAAAATGTATAACTTTATATGAGATCAAAAATTATAGACTACTCAAATCGTCAAATCATAACTTTGTTCATGTAAAATGTTACTTGATTGACCTCATCATGGCGAACCCGTAGACAATGTGAAACTTGGACCCAGCATCGAAGTCTTCTTCTGTTCTCGGCACAGGGGGTGACAGTCCCTGGTACTCCAACCTGTCGACATGGATAAGTTGTACTTGTGACGAATATTTCAAACAATGCACACAACAAAGATTAGGCCAAACAAGTAATTTTTATGGATGACATCAGCACGCGCATTGATTTTCGCCTGATTTTAGAAAATAAAAAACAAGAAATTTTATTGCCATTTGATAGTAATCCACATATCGAAAATGAGCCTTGTCATGCTGTAATGGGTAGATAAACATGAAGAGAGGAGACAAGACAAGGCTCTGATTTATTGTTTTGACTTTTACTTTGATGCAGTGATGTATTTCATTCCTTTCATATGTTCCCACTGAATCAAACCAATTTGTACAATGATTGAAAACTTTCCTTTTTCAAAGTTGTTTCAGTGGCAATGGATGTTGTGATAGTTGGCAATAAAGTTAGCACATCCATCGTTTCTTGTTTAACAGGGTTTATGATGTCATAATTTGTAAATATAGGAATCTTGTTTTTTTGGCCCGCTTTGTTTTTTTCGTCCTCTCGCATTAGATTTGGAGTCTGCGGAGGATGTCATCCATAAAATTTACATACTTTGGCCTTATTTACTTATTAGCTTTCGAGATGCACTCTGTATATTAAGTTAAAATTAAGTTTGACAAGAAAGGGTATGTTCTACTGTGTTCGTGAAGATATTCAAACGCCACCTACGTATTTCCTTTTTGATTGAAGGTTTCCACCAAGCCCTGTAACATGTGAGCAGAGGTTTTGTCCATTCTGTCCCAATGATATTGAAGACTATATAACGATAAACACACAAACCTTCTCTCCGCTTGCTCAACAGAATGTGTTACATTTGATGCTATAGATAAATTTAATTTCATCCTAGAAGGTACGAGATAACCCTTACTGTGTACAAATATGTAAATTACACAAGCAGTTAATGTTTAGACCTTAGAACAAGTAGTATTAGTTTACTCATCTATTGTTTTGTACGTAGGTTAATTTTGTTGTGCCCATGAATTTGCCTGTATGTCTACGTGTAGTTTTAGACCCTACGAATGTCGCTGTACTTTTGTCAAGTATACTCTGATGGCACATGGTATGCAACAGTGCGGTCACAATCGGCAACGGGCGTTGTGTTGCATACCGAGACCTTGCACATGCACATGGACGTGTGAAATTGCCAAGGGACAACTTCAGAATGCAAAAGATCTCTTTCTGTCCAGATGTCAATGGACCGGCTAATCTTTTCGGAAACTATGGCACATTAAATCTATTACCGATCACACTTAGAGGACAAGGTCGGGGGCACACCTAACATCCAAAGCACGTCGTACGGGAAAACGTTTTTGATCCATTGTTTTACCGATCGCACTGCACAGAACTACCTTCTAACAGTGTAGTTCATACCTACAATGGCCGATTTTTCTCACCAAACCGACTCAATCTATCACATCTTTGGGCCACACCAATTTGATTTGCTGGTTCTCGGATTTTTTCATAAAAATATGAAGCGACAGGGCGAAAAAAAATCAAAATAAAAACAGGCCTAGGCATGCTACGATAGGAGCCATGAAGTCAACCCAAAAGGCTGGGCTAATATTTAAAACAATGAATTTTGAACTTTTATTCAAACCCCACTGCATTGATAGATGTAGGAACTATGAAGAAAGGGATTTTCCTCGGCTGTTGTGGGCAAAATATGAGCATTTTTAGTTGATTCAGAACCAGAATCTTTTTATTTTTATTTTTTGCAAATCAGACAAAAATGAAGAGCTGAGTCCGAGAACCAACAAATTAAATTGGTGTGGCCTTATCAGTGCCTTTTTCGGAAAATAAAACGTGACATTACCTATATGTAGCTGAAGGTTAGACACCCAGGTAATAAGATACGCAAGAACAGTTTCTCAACTAACTGGATATGATTTTGGAAATTGATCTTCCAATTTGAAAAAAAAAATGTCTCCTTCAGGATCATTTTTTGTACTTTAGCTACACGAAATTGATATGATCTGGCCCTACCCCATGTGACCCAATCTCACGTGACGGCCTCTTCTGTTTTCAGTTTGGCTAACACAGCGACGTTTTTTGTTCGCTCTCAAATATTATCGTTTTCTCCTCGTGGAGCAGCATTGGGGTAGGCTATGTTCAGTATACCGAAGACCTGACTCGGAAACAGCTCAGATTCAGCATCCTCTGTCCCTACCCCTCGGTAACTCTCCAGCCCCTCATCACACAGTTGCCAGAGACGGGGATCGCGCCAAGAGTGAACCCCCTTCGTGAGTCGCCACAACATCCGAGCAAGACAAGAGAGCTGCCCTTGACCAGGCCGTCCGGTTCCCGCCAGTACGAAGTTCGTGATCTGCGGGCTGACAAGGAGTCGGTGCGGGATGTAGCCTGCGTTACACAAGCTCTCGGTCGGAGGTTAATGACCCCCACCCCAAGTGGGGGCGGCAACTTCGGGGCGGCCGGCCGCCAGGAGCGCGATTAGTCAGGCCAGTGCGGGAGGTGGATACGTTACTCGAGGAAATGATGCATTCTCCGCCCAGAGTTTCGAGAAAGACTGCGTTTCCAGGCAAGCGTGCTTCTTCCTCGGGTTCAGACGGCAGCGTTCACAGGGGATCGGATTTCACGCGCAGCCATGGCCAGCACCGCCATCGAGATCACAGGGAGCAGTCTGACAGAAAGTCGCGCAGCAGTACCAGGAAACCGAGAGAGAAGACTGTTTCTAAACGCGCGTCGAAGGACTTCGTCGACTCCTGTTCCAGCACGAGCCCGCCCGCACGTCCGTCGAAGTCGCGCAGCAGCGCCAGGAAACGGAGAGAGAAATCGGTATATAAACACACGTCGAGGTATTGCGTCGACTCTACTTCGGACACAAGCCCGGCCTCACGTTCGTCGAAGTCGCGAAGCAGCGCCAGGAAACCGAGAAAGGAGTCTGTTTCTAAACGTGCGTCGAGGGATTGCGTCGACTCTACTTCGGACACAAGCCCGTCCGCCCGTCCGTCGAGGTGGCGCAGCAGTGCCAGGAAACCGAGAAAGATGAGTTGTCGTTGCCAATGTTCGTACACGGGTACGTGAAAGCCGTGATTGAGTCACATCGTCTCTCAGGGAAAGTTGATAGTAAATTGGCTCACATAGCAGACCTGATGTTTGATGCAGTATACTATGACTGGCCATAGTCCATAACATATTCCATTTATATTCCAATATCATATACAGTTGCTTGAGTAACTGTTTCTAGTACCTATGTGATAACCATATTACCTGAGTTTCCACCACTCCCTGTTGTACTCGTCTGCTGTGATTTTCCCACTGAAGACGCGGCTTTGCCAGGTGTCGATCATCACCCCCATGGCCAGGGCCGGGATCTTGTCCAGGGCCTGCCTCAGGAGGAAGTTGATCTCGCTTTCTGTGCGGACACATATATGGAATTTTATGTAGATACCTATGGGGTCATGAATTGATGTTGTGCAGCAGTGATGTACAAGTGGATTTCTATCACGTGGTGAACACGGGCGGGGCACGACCTGTCTTAGCCAATCACAGTGTAACCTTGATCCGCGCTAACCAATCGCAGTGCGTCTCCTAACATAATCATTTATCAGTACCTACGCCGTCAACTTTTATTCAGTGCACGGGAACTGAACTGAACTGTAAAATTCTGTATCGATATAGCCGGTATAACCGCCCTTCGGCGTAACACGCCTGCTTTTTTCAGCCAAATTCTATCATTCTTCCTTCTGAACACTAAGGCCACAGCAAGTAAATTTAATGGATGACATTCTCCGCAGACTCCAAATCTAATCCGAGCGGGCGAAAAAAAACAAGGCGAGCCGAAAAAAACAAGGTTCCTACATTTTAAAATTTTGACTCAATCATTGTACAAATGGTTTTTATTCATTGCAGTGGGAACATCACATATACACAGCCAGCATCACATATCATTGCATCAAAGTAAGAAACAAAACATTAAATCTGACCCTTTTCTTGTCTTCCCTCTTCATAGTTATCTGTCACCCACCTTCCGGCATGGCAACAGACATCTTTGCCAATTTTCGGCATGTTCACCACTGTCAGAAGGCAACAATTTTTTTTCCAAAATCAGGTGAAAATTAATGCGCGCGCTGATGTCATCCATATAAATTACTTGCTATGGACTAATGATAGCTCTTGTTGCATGAGCGATGTGGTTTACCGTGTGTGTCCGGCCAGTCTGTCAGCAGCCCGACCGTGCGGAGGTGAGCGGGAGTCATGGCGGACAGCGATACGGTGTCTCCTACAGCCTCGTGGAACCCCGGGTTAGCGCCGTCCCTGTACAGCATAGGCTGGTCCTGTCCGTGAATATTAATACATTTATTATCTAGAAAGGTAACATTTGCAAACCAAATGCACAATGTTTACCTTCACATATGGTCTGCTCTGTTATTCCTACTTCCTTACTTACTTACAGTCAAACATGAGTCTAAATCACTCCTGCCATAAAATTGCAGTTTATGATATTGTTTTTGGTGTATATATTGTTGTATTTCCGTGTATATATGTGTCGTGGAACATGTGGTTTGTAACGTTACATCATCAGTATAGCGTTACCACTATAACGTTACAAACCACATATTAAAAAAATCATTCTCTATTTGTTGTCAGATTCACCCCATAGTAATTTAATCAACGTTGAGCATAAAATGCCCCAACACCTCAAAACACAGTGAAAAAACAAGCTGTTTAACGTCAACAGGATTATTCCGATGCCTTCCTGTCCTATGCAAATGAGGTTTAGACCCCTGTTTTCGCAATGCATTCTGGGGCTGGGAAACTTGTGAATATGGCACATACCTCGTACTGTAGGAAATACTGGATGTGGCCCAGTTCGTGATGGATCGTCCCAAGGAACTCGTGGTTGACCTCTGTGCACATCTTTACCCTGGTAATTATAACGAAACATTAGGTATCATTCAACAGATTGTAGAATACGTTTTCTACAGTTGTAATAGTTTTTACCGTATCGACGCGTTTTCTCAAAGTGTGTTTACTTTTCAAAAAGCAATGGATGAACAAAATGAAATAATAAAGTAGTTTAGTCTTCTCAAACTGGCTGGAGTTTTATAAATGCGATTATATTATTATTATTTTTTACCAAATAAAAATCCATTCAGTTTGAGAAGACTAAACTACTTTATTATTTTATTACCACCCTGGATGAGTAACCTTCACCAACGTATCAATGGATGAACAGTGTCAAAAAATACACAATTTGAATATTCAATTTTACTGGTGAGAAGGTGACGTGGTTTGTTGGGACTGACCTGACGTCGCTATGGTGGTAGAAGTCCCAGGATGTAGGATGACAGGAGACTTCCCTGTCGGCAGGACGGACGATCATAGACTTCTCCCAGAAAACCTACGTCATCAACGGGCGAGACAAACATCAATTCCCGAGTTTCCCATCCCCAGGATGCATTGCGAAAACGGGTCTAAACCAGCACGTCGGCAGAATGTACTGCGCCTGCGCAGAACCCTGGATTTTCACGGTTTTCGTTGGATTTTTGGTCAAGGTTGCATCAGAATTTTCACTGTTGCAGACGATATCTTTTACGACATAACATTTAAAACTACTGTCGGAATGCTAACCTTATATGAGCAAAACAACCTTATATGAGACGTTCTGCCCAAGTGCTATGTACAATACATTACGGGTTTTGCGCAGGTGCAATACGTTCTGCCGACGTGCTGTCTAAACCTCATTTGCGTAGGACAGGAAGGCATCGGAATGATCCTGGTGACGTTAAACAGCTTGTTTTTCCACTGTGTTTTGAGAAGTCGGGGCATTTTATGCTCAGCGTTAATTAAATTACTATGCGTTGAATCTGACAACAAATAGAGAATGAATTTTTTGGAATATGTGGTTTGTAACGTTATAGTGGTAACACTATACTGATGCTGTAACGTTACAAACCACATGTTCCATGTTAAAAAGAACACAAAAACTTCATTCTCTATTTGTTGTCAGACTCGGCCCATAGTAATTTAATTACCGTTGAGCATAAAATGCCCCAACACCTCAAAACACAGTGAAAAGCAAGCTGTTTAACGTCAACAGGATCATTCCGATGCCTTCCTGTTCTACGCAAATGAGGTTTAGACCCGTTTTCGCAATGCATTCTGGGGATGGGAAACTCGTGAGCTGAGTGCAGCAAAAAAATTGAAGGAGAAATTAAAGAGGAAAACAGTTGAATATGTTACCAGGTTTACAACAAGATTCGTCAGAGCAATAGCGTATTTCTTATGGTAACCTATGGTAAACAAATCGATGTTTACGGAAGGAAAACATATTGTTTTTGTTCAGTTTCTTCCTCTTCTTCTTCTCCAAACAGTGACCTCTGACCTGACTTGTTGATTTCTATCAACATGGTGACTGGTGTTGGGTTACAATTAAACATAATGTTGCAATTTCATGGTCTGCTCTGCTCCTGTCACCATATACTAGTAGTACATACATGTGAATGTGTTTGAGTAAGAATTAACAAAACAGACCATGTCCGAAGGTAAACATTATGCATTTGTTTTGCAAATGTTACTTCTCTAGTTTTTATTTAAAATTGTTTTCAAATATTTCCACATTGTCGAATTGTACACGAACAGACATACTAACCTCTGGTAATTCTCGCAAACCAATGGAAGTGAAGAACTTCTCTGCGATCTTGAACATGCGCAGTGGGTCATATCCCTTTTGCAACAGGACGGAAGTGACGTTCATATCCGGTTGGTCTGGGTAGGGTGCCACCAAATCGTAAATGTTGCTCCACCACTTGGCCCAAATGTTTCCTGAAACAGAAAATAATAATAATAATAAATGGTTTATTGGCCAAACATCAACCGTGCAATCGCAGCCTTATAGTGCTGAATTGATGCAGGGTTTACAATCACATAATACAAATGGTAATAATACACATAATAATACACATAATAATACACAAATAATACACATAATAATACACATGATATATATATGTTCCACCCACATTTTTGTGGAACTGTCGCAAGGGTCTGTGCGGTTGCCATTCGGCGCCACAAGGTGACCTCAATACGACTTTCCCCAACCGAAGCCGAAGGACACAAATCGGGCGCATGTCCAGACATGTTCCCGGTGCCACTAGGGATCGAACCCGGGTCTCCCCGGTTCACAGTCGAATGATCTACCACTACGCCACCCGACGCCACACACGTACAGTGATATTGCATTACATGGCTTGTTAGAATTATTTAGGCCATGTTGATTTGATTATATTGATGACATCCTCTGGCAACCCCAAAGCCGATGCGAGCGTGCAAATAAAAAAGTTTAGCATAAAAAAGTTGCCTTCATTATGACATCTACGTGGTCATGTAGGCTGAACAAATGACTAAACACAATTTCATTCGCGGCATTAGCAGCGTTTTTTGTTCAATATCTACGACTTATATTTGCTCATTTGCAGATGCATGCTTTGTACGATATACAGTATGGTCGAAAACTTTTTTTTTGTGAAACGAACGAAAATTCATGCCTGCGCGGATGTCATCCATAATATAATCATATCAACATAGCCTTATTTTGAAAAAGTACACAAACCCACAATAACTTTCATACTAATAAGGAAGACGTAGCTTTTTATCTCATTTATTTAGTAATTTTTTTCCACTGGAAAACGTGATAATTGAAAAAGTCTTGATAACTCTTTATCTAATAGTTATCCCTTTTTTCCATATAAGAATTCCATGTAAACATTATATGGAAAGCGTGGCGTCGGTGGCGCAACGGTTAGAGCGTTGGACTCGGAACCGAGAGGTCCCGGGTTCGATACTCACCGTGGGCCGACGTTGTGCCCTTGGGAAAGGCACTATACACGACTTCCCCACCTATACGGTGGAGTGACGCCCACCGAGCCTCTTAGGCTAATCTGTCTGTCAAGGTGCCAAAAACACCTTACGGATTTGGTGCGCCGATGTGACAACATCTTATATCTGCCACTGAGAGCCGTAAAATTATTATTATATATATTATATGGAAAAAATGAGATAACATGCCATTATGTCACAAATAGGTAAATATATCAAAGAATGTTTAGACCTTAGAACAAGTAGTATTAGTTGACCCACATATTGTTCTGTACGTAGGAAATTTTCGTTGTACCCATGTATAATTGTCTGTATATCTACATGTCTTTGACCTTACAAAAGTCGCTGTACTTTTTGTTGTGTCAATAAAGTTCTCATATAATGTCATTTTTTCCATATAAGCACAATATCTCATTTAATCTCCATATAGGGTTTGAATGGAATTCTTATATAGAAAAAAATGAGATAAGGACGTATTATTTTTTGCCATACGTGATGTTTCTTTGGTAAAAAAAATGACACAGCCTTTCAAAAACTACATATCACAAATTTTTAAGTTATCACGTTTTTCCCTTAGAACAAAAATGCGTACTAAATAAATGTGATAAATAATCAAGTCTACTAAGAATACTCAAAACTCGTCCACATACCACCAGTAGCAATTCTGCCAAACTACAAAGATGTAACAGTAAACGTTAATACCTAGTAAGTGTGCAGGTATTGGCCCCGTTGTTGAGACTTTGTCTTCCCCGTAGAAGCTGGCCAACCTCCTTCTGACGTACGCATGTAGCTGGACGTACAGCGGTCTGATCTCACTCCACAGGCCGTTGGCAACCTCCAGCAGGTTTTCTATCTCAAACGGCGCGCTAAGCAGTTCCCAGAAGTTACCAAATCCTGTGACAATGGAAAAAATATAACACATATAGTCACCATATCCACATAGAGTCACCCAGACATTTTGTTTCACTTGACACTGTAAGGATTTTAGACACCGAACAAGACTTTTTTGAGAGGGGTGAAGGAACATCAGGGATATACAGCAGGGCCCATCACCCTTCATTGAACCGCGACGGGGGTCGACATCGTCTACCAGATACCTTTGACCCAGTGTTGACGTCACACTTCAAAGAAGCCATGTGACAAACTTCACTGGGTCAGTCTACTGAGTAAGACCAGGGTGACTGGTCGAAAGCTCTAGGTGAGAGAATTTTTTGTGTTGGACCAAAAGTTTTAACTTTAAACAGACATCACACTAGTTATGTTTACCGAGGGAAAGCATATTGCTTTAACTTTTTATGGGTTCACCACACCACGAAGTGGTGTGGTGAAACCATATTGCTTTTTCTGATGTTTCTTCTTCTTCTTCTCCTCCTTCTCCTTCTCCTGCCATTTTTTAAATGGATTCAGCTTCTTCATTTTAGGGCCTAAGGTCCTGAAATTTGGTATGGAGGTACAGTGGGCAAATACCCCTAGGCGTTTTTTAAATATTGTGATACAGGCTTTTAG